CAGCTCTTTATACTGGAGTTTCTGTATGTAAATTTTGCCTTTCCAATATGTGTATTATTTCTAATTTATAACCTATAAATTTAAAATGTAAAATATTATTGGTGTAGACATAATTTATGAATAACATTTTATGTGTAAACATTTTTCTTAAACTTTTAAGTACGTAATTTAATATGTACATAAGTTTATTAGATGGTATATCATAAAAATAATCCTTTTCTTCTCTTTACTTTTTAAAATTTATTTTAAGACTGAAAGAAGTAAAACATGTGAACAAACAGACATTCATTTACAAAACAGCATAAGAATAATACAGGCAGTACAGAGTTACAGACATAGTGGTAGGAAATTAACAGTGGTTGTTGTGTTACATATTGGTATCTTCAAAGTGGTTCCTCAGTCTCTTTACATTATAGCCACATTTTAGTATCCTTTAGGGCCTGACAGAGTATGAAAGAGAACATTCTGAGGTATAGCAACTTCTAAGGCCATTTTCACTTTAATTTGTGATTTAATCAAAATGGTTTTAAAATTGTACACGTTAGCATCATTATAGTACTTACTAGGACTCGTCCCTTCCTTCATGTGTTGAAGGGCGAACTCTAGCTTCTGCGGTTCGGATTCATTCATAGTTCCTGAGGGCCTACTGTGTGCTGGGTCTGAGGAAGGGGTGGGTACTGTATGCCTAAGAGCAATACACTAAAATGTAAGATAGTTTTTTACCCTTCAGGGATTTTCGTTCTACTTAATGGTGACACAGGACAGTGAGTGTATGCAGTAAGAGAGGGGTCCAGAGACGGGGCAGTCAGAGTGGGCTGGAATGTGGTCCTCAGGGAAGACAGGGCGAAGTGAAGTATGAGGAAAGGTAGAAGGACTTCTAGGCTGAGAAAAGGGCAGAAATAGGCCAGGCGTGGTGGTGCACGCCTGAATCCCAGCACTCTGGGGGCTGCAGCAGGAGGATTGCCGCAAGTTCGAGGCCAGCCTGGGCTACATAGTGAGTTCAGGGGCAGCCTGAACTGTACAGCAAGACCCTGTCTCAACAAGCAAACAAATGAGCAAAAGAGCAGAAATAGAAGCCCAGAATAACAAAGGTGATGGGGTGGGAGGAGAAGTTCTATGGGACCAACCAGTCTCCAAACCTTAGTGAAAAGCTTATTTATTAGGCTGAGATGAAATAATTTACCTTAAAGATCTCTTTTGAGGATTTAATAAACTAAAAACAGGAAAATGCTTAATAAATTATCTTTTCCTTTCCTATAGACTACAGGATGATAATGACACACAGCAGGGTCAATAACTACAAATTTCACCCAGCCCTGGGTGTATGCAGAGGAACGGAAGTTTTTTTTTTGTTTTTTTTGTTTTTTTTTTGTCTTTGTGAGACAGGGTTTTGCTCCGCATTCTGTGCTGGCCCTACATAGTGATATGCAGCCTGGGCTGGCTTTGAACCCACAGTGCTGCTCCTGCCTCAGCCTCCCAAGTGCTGGGATTACTGATGTGTGCCACCACACTCGCGAAGAGATTCTTTTAAATAGAGAATGGGGAGTAGGTGATGGCCATCCTTGAACACCAAACCAAAAAGCCAGGGCTTGGTTCGGTGTGCAGTGGAAAGTTTTTGTAGGTTTTTGGGACCATAAATGATATTAAGAAAGTAGCACTTGGAAATATATGGGATGGAAGAGAGGAGGACAAAATGGATGGAGAAGAAATGATATTCTAACTTAAAATGTGTATTTTTTCTTTGCATGCTTGCATAGCTTTAATGAGCAGAGTCTCAGCTGTGAGAGATCACACAGGACCTGACTGCCGATACCTGAACTTCACTAAAGGAGAAGAGATATCTGTTTATGTTAAACTTGCCGGAGAAAGAGAAGATTTGTGGGCAGGAAGTGTAAGTACTGAGTCTTCGGAACTGAATGCAGAATAAGTGGCCAACTTGCACAAGGATACCTGCTGCCCTCTTTCTTCCTTCCTCTTTTGTTTTGTTTTGTTTCATTTTGTTTTGAGATAGGGTTTCCCTATGTAGCTCCAACTGGTCTGAACTCACAGTGATCCTCCTGCCTCAGCCTGCTCAGTGCTGGGGTTGCAGGTGTGTAGCACCCTGCCTGGCCCCCTTCCTTCCTTTCATCCTTCCCTCCTCCCTTCCTCCCCTCTTGCCCGTTTTTTCTCTTCCTTATTGTGGTACTGGGAATCACACACAGGGGTGCTCTTACACTGAGCTATATCCCCAGCCCTTTTTATTATTTTGAGAAAGGCTTT